TTTTTTTCCTCTAGTGAAGAATATTTCAGAACAAGAGCAAAATACTAAAAAGCTGTAATGCCTGATGAGACACTTGGGGAAAATGGGTAAGAGCAGATCTTAACACCTACAGTTCTGAAATATGCAGCTCAACACATACTCCTATCCAAGGCTGTCTCAAGTGATCCCACTTCTTTAGACTTGTGAAGCTGAATGAGGAAGAAGGCTCAATAACAGGGCAATAATAGTTTTTTTTTTTTTTTTTTTTTTAAACAACCACCTATTATCTTAAGTATTCATAAAGCCCTTAAATTTTGAATAAAATTATGTTTTAATGGAAACAGTAAGGAAGACGATTAAAACAGAGGGCAGATGATGCTCTGTGTTTCAGTGTGCCCTCTGTTTTAATCTCTCCCTTACTTTTTCCATCAAAAAAATTAACTTAAGGGCTTTATGAATACTTAAGATAATAGGTGGTTGTTTAAAAAAAAAAAAAAAAAAAAACTATTATTGCCCTGTTATTGAGCCTTCTTCCTCATTCAGCTTCACAAGTCTAAAGAAGTGGGATCACTTGAGACAGCCTTGGATAGGAGTATGTGTTGAGCTGCATATTTCAGAACTGTAGGTGTTAAGATCTGCTCTTACCCATTTTCCCCAAGTGTCTCATCAGGCATTACAGCTTTTTAGTATTTTGCTCTTGTTCTGAAATATTCTTCACTAGAGGAAAAAAATGCCTCAATACCAGCAAAACCATATTGTTTGCCCTATAATATGTGCTTGCCAATTACACTTATTCTGGTTCAATGCTTGCAGAATTATGGTAGAGTGAGGGGACTTAAGCACCCTTAGATCTCATAGGAACGGAAGAATAGTGAGTCTTCTCTTGAGAGAGACAGTCTTTGTGCCTACATATTTTTATCAAAATGCAACTCAACGATTTCCAGATGGATTTGAAAAAACCCACCTACCCAAAGGTTGGGGAGAGAAAGAGCAGCTCCATATGTTAAGTGTGTTCCTGTAAGCCTGAGGATCCTGGATCCAGTCCGAGCAGGAGGTCCTCAACTGGTTTGTGAGAGTCTCAAACTCAGCTCCTGGGAAGGGGGAGGGAGGAAACACTGTCCCTAAATTTTCTATAGGCCTACAGAATAGAAACCCCTGCTGGACTGCCAAATGTGTGTCTACCATGCAGGGACCAGAGTTCAAATATTCAGTTCAGTCCTTTGCATCTAGCTGGCAGCTATATGGAGGCGGCATCCTGATGGGTCTCATGCTGCTCTGGAGCAACACCCCCAGTTTATTCAGGAGTGCAACTGACAGGCTCTGGGGGCCTTGTGCAGCCCCTCTTCAACTGGAAGGATGGCCATCTCAGTAGCAGTGGGAAGGCGGAGGGGAGAAGAGTGACCTTTAATGGCTTAATTTAGTATCCTGGAAACTTGCAGTTAGTCAACTGCATCCTAAGTGCCCTAAGAGCAACCCTGTGAAATGGAATTCCATGGGAATTTCTGCAGAGGGTTCAGCAGACTAACTGGAAAAGCCTTTGATAAGTAAACATCTCAGTGTTAGACCAAGTGGCTCTAGAGTCTGGTGGCCCTAAAGCTTCTATAGGCCAATATTTGCTGATTGTGGCTAACCAAATAGCAGCACTGATAGAACACAGTGGTAAGGAAGAGGAAAGGAAAGGAGAGAAAAAAAGAACAAAACAAGACTCACTCAATGCTCTCTGGTGTTCCGGTGAGCACACAGGGCCTCTCGGGCATCCCGCCGCTGTCTGTGAAGGGAACGAGAACATGACAAGGACTGGATATTTCACAACTCCTGAATCGCCAACAGTAGCCAGCCAAGCAGGCAGATACAAGCAGCCAAGGCATAGCCTACAGAACTAGCTCTTTCATGGTTAAAAGCGGCAGTAAAATCTACATGATCCTTTCTGGATTGCACGTTATAAGAGGGTGGTTAGAGACCTCCAATCTCAAGAACAAAGGGCAGCCTCAAAGTACACACAGTTCTTGTGTGAAGCAATCAGGTTCTATACCTGATTTGAACACTTGGCTGCAATTCATTATAATTATGAATCTGGAAATAAAGCAAATATTTTCTAAGTATTTTATTTATCCTTCAATCACCCTGCACACTCACTCCTGCTTGAGTATTCAGTCTTGCTCCTGTGGCATCTTAGACTGATATGATTATGGTGTTTTCCTACACTTAGTACAACTATATATTCCACGTTAGCTTTCTTTTAAGTGTCACACTCCTAGTAAACAAGTTGTTACATGCAATTCAATTGGGTTAAAAACACTGGTCAGCTGCTTCAGTGACCAAAGGGCAGCACTAAAATGTTCCCTTTGCACATAGAGCATGTTAATAAGAATTCAGAGATATCCAGGAGCAACATATTTCAAAGACAAAATGGATGTTTCCTTTATTTTTAAATCTCTCCCTGCCAATTAAGATTAAAAACCCAGAAGATAGTATTTTGCAATAACTATATAGTAACACACTTCTGTTTTCCCATGGGGGGCGGGGGGGCAGAGACACCGACTATCTTCACAGAAAATAGTATAAAGCAAGAATACGCAGCATACCACACAGACTGGTACAGTCTCCTTTTTAGTTTGAGATGGATCCTATCAGGAGCAACTCCCGACCTCTTGAAATTTCAGTTTCCAAAAACTGACAAGACTAAGCAATTAAATACAATCCACATCTGATTCTCCAAAGAAGTGCCACTGGAAGACAGCCCTAAATAGGAGCATTTCCCATCTCTGTAGGGAACAACATGGACTATAATTTAACACTTAAGTTGCATCTGCTTCTTGATTAGAGGTGGTCCCCTCATTTTGCTCCCAGAAGTAGCTAACAGGTCTGTTTTCTGTGCTAGTGTGGAGGTCAGTCCCAGAAAAGAATTCCCTTGTGCATCAGTTGGTAACCAGCGATAACACACATGAATGTGATGGACAGGTCTCCACGTCTATTGGACATGCCATATTTCAATGCCACGCCCTGCTTCCACTACACACACTAGCTCTTACCTGGAGCAATCTGAATTTTGCAGCCAGACTCTGCCTGGATCCGTGAGATCTGTTCACCGCCCCTGCCGATTACTGAAACAAGTTCAACAAGTGTCAATTTACTGTAGTCCTAGCCAAGAGCAGAGTATCTGCTCCCTTTACTCCATTGCAACTGGCAGTAAAGGGGAGACTATATTCCAAAACTGTAAAACAGGCCTCCATACTCTGGTACACAGAAAGCCAATGTCATGGTAGAACCATTACTAGAATTCAGCAAAACATTTAATTGTATTTCCTTGTAAATACAAGTCTTACACTGAACTGAGAATACATGGTAGGTAAAAATAAGTCACTAAACAGAGCCAGGCCAGGAAAGGTGTTTTACGGTTATTGTCCTGTGACAACCTGAATCTCAGGTCTGATAAGAAAACATGGCTGTCCTGATAATTTTGCAGCCAAAGCACAGGTATTTTGGGTGTTGCTTTATTTATTTATTTTTAATAATTCACTGTCCCTCCTTCAAGAGCATGTCGCTGGTTTGATCTACACTTTAATACACCTGGGTTTTATATTGAAGTGCCATGCCTGACCTCAAGCTGAAAGTGAAAGCTGGCCTCCCTTAGATCCCCTGCATCACTGAATGACAATTGTGTTCCACACTATATAGCAGGGAGAGAACATGCACAGCCAGCCATATACACCCTTCCCAAAGAGTAACATGGAACACAGCTGCAGGTCAGCCAAGTCTAGCAGACATGATTGGGTCAACATTCTCTCAGTAGAGGGCCCTCAACTGTGGAACTTGCTTATGCTAGTACCTGTTTGAGCTTGAATCTTTATCACCTGCTTACTGTGTGGCATGAAGCAACTTTTTGCCCAGGCCGCCTTCTTACGGAACTACAGAACTACCTTCTGAATGGCCAGCACCTGGCCCCTAAAAGAGATTGGGGTGGGAGGGCATGGGGGGAGAGGGGGAAAGGAAAGAAAAGACTGCCGCTCCTTTATAAGAAACCAACAAATGAATAAAGAACTGAGCCAGGAAGAGAGTGTTTTCAATTTCAGCTTCAGGTTGGACACCCGGTCAGTCTGCGTGTAAGTAAACATGGATTGTTATTTCCCTTTTCACTCTTCACACACACTAAGCAGAGCATTTGGGGTGATGCTCCTTTACCAGAAGAGATGGCATGCTGGAATCCGAAGGTTATGGAACATGCCGTGGCATGACTCTTTAGTCATGACAGCAGGAGGATTCCCTTGAAAGGAGAAACAGTGAACAGCTGGAGGAACACAGGAATCAGGGTGAAGGGTATGAGAACATCGTCAAGGGTGCAAGAGTGAGGTGAACGAGAGAGAGAGAGAGAAGAAGAAGATCAGGAAGAAAAAGGAGAGAGAAATCCACCTGGGCAGGAAAGTGCACCCCAGTTATTTCTCACTAGGCATCTGTTTAAAATTCAACTTTCACTTTAAGTGTTTAAAAACTATTTCTCTCCTCCCTCTTCCCCCAACCCCACTGACAATAGTGTACTTAAATGCAGTAACTGGTTCTGGTGACAGGCAAATGGATTCATTCTTGGCAAACCATTATGTAATTTGGTCTGGGGAATCTGTCGTTACAGCCAGAGTTACCAGAACAGCAGATCTTCAGAAATCTGTGTTCCCTGCCACCTCACACCCCAAAAAACCCTATTCCATATTCATCACTGTAAAACCCTTACCAGCAAACAGGTAGTTTATATCTGGGTTTTTAAGTGCAGGGCATTGTGGCAGAGACAGTTTAATTTGCCCTTACTGGGGGATGTTATTAATAGGCAAGATTTTTCACAGACAGTAAATTCACAGTGGCATTGATTGAAGTTGTGTGCCTTATTCCTCACCCACCACGATAAGCACTGTTCCTGAACAGAACGTATATTCAGAAACTGAATTTAAAACAAAAACATCTAGGATACTTACTAAATCCAACCATTTTATCAGGCACTTTGAATTCTTCTGTTATTACTGTCCTAAAAATGGAGATTCAAATAGTCACTGCAAAGAACAGTTTAGTAGACCACCTTTGTCCTCCCATAAAAGTCAGCCACAGAATACAAAGTTGTGTATAGAAAAATAAACACTTCAGCCATAATCAAAACCATTTGGGTTGGAAGTGACCCTAGAGGGTCATCTATTCTACCCCCTTCTTCGTGGAAGAACGGGTTTAGTTATTCCTAAACTCTGATATATTTTAAATCTAGCCTTGATTAGCTCCACTGAAGTTGATTCCATATCTCCTTTGGCTGTTCTTGCTCCAAATGCATAGCTGTTCAAGTAAGTAAATCTTTTTCTAAAATGGAACCTCAATTTTCTATGATGCAGCTTAAGCCCATTATTTCTTGGTCTGTCCTTATTGCATGAGACTAACTGGCCTCTGACCTCTAATACCCCTTCATGCATTTGTAGACAATTATATCTCCCCTCGGCTAGATCTTCTCTGGAATTAACATAAGCAGTTCTCAGCTCTTCCTCTTAGGTCTTAATTTTCACAAAATGTTTTATCATATTTATTGCTCTCTGGACACTCCAATTTGCCTATCTTAAAATGTGATGCCAAAAACTAAAGTTTTCCATCTGAGGCCTAATCAGTGTCGAATAGAGCAGAATAATTACCTCGCTTGTTTTCCAAATGATACTCCTGTTAAACACAGCCCAATGCATATGGCATTTGCCTTTTTTATTAGCGCTTGATTCAAGTGAATCTTGATAGACACTTCCCAACTCTTCATACATTGAAACACGCACAATATCCAATTTGTTTGACACCTCTGAAAGCAATTAAATATCTTTGGAGGAAGTTTCTAACGAGGCCTCTTGCGAGATCACACAGTTTGCTTTATAACAGCCATTGGAAGAATAAAAATACGGATTTCTAAACTTTTCCCCAGCTGTACCATAGATAAGTACTTATGACTGAAGACCTAATCTGTAATATGATCACTACTGCAGCACTATATTGTCCCCACTCATACCAGAGTTAGAATATGGGTTGCCTTTAGTGTCAGACAGTGTGATGCCATGGTTCGATCCTATATTGTAAAAGGGACCCCCAAGTGAATTAGTGGTGGTGAAAGAGTGCTAGTTGACAGCTTAAAGAATGAGGTCCTCTGTTTGGAAAGGGAACAGGCACAGCAAGGGTCTACCAACTGTTCTAACATCACACTTACACCTTGGTGTAATAGTACCACTTCTAAGTACTGGGAGGTTGCAAGTATCCCTATCCATTCCTTGCCCTTTCTGCTGAGCCCTTAAACAGAGGGATTGGTTAGAATGGTAGTGTGCTGCCATCAGCACATCTGGAATTTAATGGCTTTGAGCAAGAGGCACCTTCTGAAGTGAAACCACCACTACTCTCGACAGAAATGCAAGATTCTAAAAACCAAGAAGGACTTAAGACACGGCATTCTTTAGAGCCGCACTATGCCATGCCTGGTAAGGAGTCATCCGAGGGGTCGTATTTTACCAGCAAAACGAGAAAAACTCAATTGACAGCTTAATACTTCTGACTCCTCTTCCACTGCCAAAAAAGCAGGTCATTTTCTTATGCTCAGTCCTACAAATTTAGATGAAGCCAAATCCAAGCCTTCCTTACAAAAATGTGAGCTCTTTTTTGAAGCGTGCACAGTCTCAGAAAGGGTAGGCAAAAACTGCAGTCTGGAGAAAAACAGAGCCTATAGTTTTCCACGTTCTCAACCTCTGACTTCCTAGCACTCTAGTACAGATGGTGGATCAATAAACAATTAGAACTGATCAATAAATAATAAAACATAACCCACTGCTTACCTTTGATGTACCAGGGCCCCTAACTGGTTACCTACTGTGGCAGAGAGAGGAAAAAGGAAAAAAAATCAAAGCATTAGTACGGATAAACTAACTTCATCCCTATAGAAAGAGTTCTTACCATTTCATCAGAAAAAAGAAAGCAAAGCAAAACAGTAATTTAGGTTCAGTGGCTGAAATGAATGTGTTATGTGGTAAGAAACAGGAGGGGATTTCTTGATCAACGCAGTCTACAATCCAGTGTCCAGCTGAACACAGGAAAGGAAATTGATCTGTATCTCCCCATGCTGAGAGTCATGGGAGAAAATCCTGCCAGCCCAAATCCCTGTAACTTACCTCCTCCCCCTTCCCAAATTAAACCCAATGTAAAGATCAAGCAGATTTTGGTAGATATTAAATTAAAAAAATCAAAGAGCCAAAACAGACTTTGAGATTTAGTTTAATCAGAAGCATTAGAGATCACTTGCACATACTTCTCTCTGTATCTCTTATCTGTGCTCCATGGAGCCCACTTAAACGGAGACCTGTTAAAGGAATAGGTCTGTTAAGTAACCTTGTGGCACCCACATTGTATCCTTTTATCACATTTCTAGTGAATACACACATTTCAGCCACTCTTACATTGTCAGCTGGTGGCTCATCTAGGATTACCCCTCACCTCCTCAACTAACCTCCCCCAACCAAGACAATGTTTTTTCTATTTGTTTCATCCTCCCACCACTGCCAATAGATTAATTTTTCCTCCGTTACCTTAAAAATATGGTGCAAATACAGACAGGGTCCCACTGCAAAGTAGGAAAACATCCTGCAAAGCTTCCTACAGGACTTCACCTGTGGGTAACACACTAAGAAATGGGCCATTTGTTCCTAACAACTAGAAGACCATTTTGATTACATCATACGCCTGGGGGGCATAGATGGTGAAAACAGATGAAACAAGCAGATACCATCTGAACTGTGATAATAAATATTTTGTTCCTAACTTCTTGGTGATAAGTTGTCACTCAGATGATGAGAATAAGGAAACCGATGCACCTCACATTCTTCAGATATAAGAGAGTATTTTTTGCAATGCTGTAGCCATGTTGGTCCCAAGATATTAGAGAGGTGGGTGGGTGGGTGAGGTAATCTTATTGGACCAGCTTCTGTTGGTGAAAAGAGACTAGCTTAGAGTGTACACAGGGCTCTTCACGGCCAGGAAAGGTGCTCAAGGCAGGTCTACACTACAAATTTATAGCTGCGCCGCTTTAGCACGTCCGGTGAAGGCACTTTAAGTCAACAGGAGAGAGCTCTCCCACTGGCTTAATAACTCCACCTATGTTGGCAGAAGGTTCTGAAAGGGTCTAGGGATGTAAATATAGGTTAAAAAGTTCACCTATTTAAACTATTAAAATTATATTGTTCAAACGGTTAACGATTAAAGGGGAGGGCTGGGGGGCTGCTCCAGCCAGCCGGCATGGCTGGGACTTGGGCCGCTCTGGCCAGCCAGTGCAGGGCTGCTGGAGTCAGTGGGCGGGCCGGCCGGCCAGAGGTTAACCATTTAGACTAATGCTAACCAGTTAATATTTTACATCCCTAACAGGGTCCCACTGCAAAGTAGCAAAAACATCCTGCAAAGCTTCCTATAGAACTTCACTTGTGTGAAAGACACTAAGAAATGGGCCATGTGCTCCTAACAACTAGAAGACCATTTTGATTACGTTGGTTATGAGGGGTATTGGTCATCACAGGAGCAGAGAGGAGTGCAGGTTTTGCATCTGTTATGGCAGGGTCTGATGCCGCTTTGAATTGGTATGTCCTGAACTGTGAAGACCTTGCTTCTGATGAGCACGGTGAGGTTGGAGGGTTGTTTGAAGCAATACCCTGTCATAACAGATGCAAAAGTTGCAGACATACTCCCACAACATACATTTCAAGATCCATAGGTCCTTCACATACCTACCATAACAACATGTGGTATACCTCGGCCAGTGCACTGAATGCCCCAATAGTAAATACCTGAGTGAAATTAGACAGTCACTATGCTCTCAAATGAACCCTCAGGGGAAAAAAAAAAAACCACACCACCACCACATCAGCAGGCACACACTTTTCACAGAATGATCACTCCATATCTGACCTCTCAGGCCTCATTCTCAAAGGAAACCTGCACAACACCTTCAGAAGACTAGCCTGTGAGCTTACATTCATAACTTTGCTAGACACTACAAGTCATGGACTCAAAGACCCTGGATTTATGGCTCATTAAAACAATCTGTGACCCGCTAACCCTCCTTTGTCCTGACTGCAGGGGTAACAACTGCCCACCTCCCCTTAAATGATCTTTTGCAACATGTTCCTCCTTGTATTTAGCTGTGACACGGAGTACCATTCTCAAACTGAAAGACGAGCTCTGTATAAGCTTAAAAGCTTGTCTTTCGCCCACAGAAGCTGGCCCAATAAGAGCTATTACCTCACCCACCTTCTCTCTCGCTCTCTCTAATAGGAAAATGCATAAAATCTGTGACCAGACACACACTTTAGATAAATAAAATAGGCAGAGTCAATACCTTATTTCTGTTCTGTGTCAATATCTTGATAATGGTCCTGGACCAAGATATTGACAGAATATATATATTTTTATTATACTGTTCAGCTCAGAGGTAAGACAACTGCTGTGTTATTGACTCCTTCAGATTTGCCTTTGCATACGCTCACTCTGAATATAAAATGTCCTAATTTAATAGTTATCAATACTGCAGTAGAAAAGTTGGGTGATGTAATGGGGAATATTTGCTCTTACTGATAACGGTACTATTACACAGAACGGCTGAGCAAGTAAGATACAAGTTTATACAGTAAATTCGGAAACACACCACCCTGTCCTCAAGCTGCCTTAAAAATATTTTTGCTACAATAATAGGGCAAGAGACATTATTTGTATTACCACAGCACTAGGAGCCCTAGCCACGGATCACAATTCCACATTATTCCAACAAGGTGGTAGAAAGAGCAGTCCCATTATTGCCAATGCTGCTGTTTCACATTTCCTTTTAGCATTTTCCCTAACGCAATCTGTTTCAGCATCTCTCTTAGCAAACTGGATATGCCTATTTAAGAAACAGAGCTGTATCCCAATAAGCCCTTCCACCTGTCCTAAATTTTACACTAATTAAGAATAGCTTCCATTTTGTAACAAGACATTACACTGGGAAGAAAGTACTCGTTGGGGACATACAGTTTTGTTGACAAGCAGAAGAGCTCATATAAGTCATGAAAATAACGTACTGCACATCCGTAGAGCCTCCCATCCAAACATTTTGAGCGCATTACAAACAAATTAACCCTTTCAACATGCAGGTAAAGTAGATATCCTCATTTTACTTAAGGGGAAATGGGGGGGCACAAAGAGGTTAAGGCACCTACACAAAGTCTGTAACAGAGAGGAGTAGATTTCTTGCCTCCTAGTCCTATATGGCTTAAGCACAAGACTTCCCTGCATCTTCTGCGTACATGCACTCTCCCTGTTCCCTACCCAAGAACATGAAAGGTTGAGAAACACCATAGCGCGTGCGAGCATGCACACACACACACACAAAAAAAGACAACCCTGCCATGAGAAACTGATTAGCCCATGGTTCCAACAATCTGAAGTTTCATTCTCTCTCAAACATGCCCATTTTGCTCTGAAAGACAGACTAATAGAGAGGCAAGTCTGGGGCAGAATGCATGCACTGAAATACTACAAACTGATGATATATTCTAGGCAGAAGGCACCATCTTCTTCTTAATGGCAAGGAGAGGGTTGAACACTGATAGGCCACGTATGTGTCCCCCCCCCCTTTTTTTTTTTACATCTATTGAGTACAATTTAACTGTAAGTGCAGTCATTTTACTGCAAATAAGGAAAAAGACTGAATAAAATCAGCCCAATTTCCTGTTAATGGCACCTGCTGGTTGATAACTCTACATCCTGCTTTAGTCTTCACCTTAACTGAATTCTGCCCAACAGATACTCAAAACAAATGCAGATTTTTATTTTTTATTTTCCACCCTATAAAACAGTGCAGTGCCTCCCACTAAATTAATGTGCATGGTGGGAATATATACTCTTATGGAAGAAAATATCCCTCAAGAATAAAACCACAGCAATGCATCACAAGAGGTAGCTGAGGAATATAAGGTTGCAAACTATACTTTAGGATTTTGAGAAGTACACTCTTATTGAAAAGGGGCAGGAGTGTTTGGGGAATGGGGTAGTTCAAGTGTATTTTTTCCCCAAATACTTCTCCCTCCTCAAGTCAGTCACTAGTTTTCTTCCTAATGAAGCCTTAAAAGAACTGCAACCAGAGGGGAGGTCTGCCGTTCTTCCACTCACTAAGTGTTATTACAATTCCTTTTAAGTGCTCATTACTGCAAATAAAACATTTGCATCTTTAAGGATCACCGAAATGAGGGAAGAGGAGATTGGGTTCTGACTGTCACAGAACCTTCTGACTCTTGGTCTCAGTTCCCCATCCCGGTCTTGCAGATAATACGTCCTCTCTTTCACCTTTTGTTCTAGTCTATTTTGATTGGAAGTTCGGAGACAAGGATCATCCTCTACCATGTGTTTGTACAGCACTTCAACGGGGCCATGATCTTGGTTGGGACCTGTAGGCACTACTCTAATACAAATAATATTTCAGGGGGGAGGGCTAGCTCAGTGGTTTGAGCATTGGCCTGCTAAACCCAGGGTTGTGAGTTCAATCCTTGAGGGGGGCCACCTAGGGATCTTGGGCAAAAATCAGTACTTGGTCCTGCTAGTGAAGGCAGGGGGCTAGATTCGATGACTTTTCGGGGTCCCTTCCAGTTCTATGAGATAGGTATATCTCCATATATTATTATAAACATTATATTTGCTTTGCCACATGAAGTCACAAACATTTGGGGGGGGGGGGGGAGGATATCTCTAGGATTCTTCCCCATCTCCTCCTGCCAACGCTCTTTGCTCCAGAATAACGGCAGTCCTCTACCTGAAGGCTGAGCACTGGTTCTAAATCCTATGTCACTAAAGAATACAAGACAATTCCTCAAAGGCCTGACTGGACTTAAAATGGATGTGACAAAGTTCAGGGTCTGATCTTCAATTTCTGAAACTCAAAATGCTGCTACTGGACAAGTTCCCCTCTTCCTTTGAAAAAGCAACCTTATTTTTAAAAAAACTGTTTGGTGCTGTAAAATGGTTAAATTGTGCCATTAGTTAGAAATATTCTTGCACCACAACAGTAGCAGCCAATAGAATATGGGGACTGAGTCATGAGAGCTGGATTCTATTGTCAACTACATGCAACCAAGACAGTATATCTATGCAACTCAGTCCCTGTCTACACAGTGCGGCAGAGCACTTAAAGTGTTGCACTCTAATTCCCTGTATAGGCCCTACTGATACGCTCTAAAGGCACCTAATGCATGTCGATGTAGTCCTGTTTGAAACAGCTCTATATGTTCACATGCATGAAGAATCTTTTCAAGCAGGTCAGTAGGGGGTCTACACTTTAGAGCACTCTACGATTTACACCCCTCCTGTGCGCATTCCTCATCACTAAAATGGAGATAACCCACCTCTGCAAAGAGCTTCTAGATCTTTTGAAGAGAGGTGCTATGCAAGTGCACGTAAATTAAATAGAAGTTACAGTGTGGGTATTCGTGCCAAAAAAGCCAGTTTTGCCCAACTGTGCTACCAGTTCTCAGTTAGACCCCCACCCTGTCCAAGCCCTGTGTGTGAAGAAAAGCATGCACCCATTTCAGACTACTTCTCAGAGAAAGGAAATAATGAAACTGAAAATCACCTGTTTCAGGCTCCATTTCAGACCCACAGCCTAGGTCAGTGCAGCCAATTTTAGTAGCTCTAAATTGTAGATTAAGGTTATTTTAAGTGGGGGGGGGGGAAGAGGGGGACTTATGCACTGTGTTTTCCAATACTATGACAAATCTCTTCTCTCAGAAAAGGCTATAAAAGCAACAGAACTTATGACCAATGCATTACCACCATTTGTCGCAGAGACAATTTCATACTCTCATCACTCAGCAGTGCTGACAGTCATTTACAGAACTGTACAGGTATGAGTTAAGATTTCCTAGACCCTGGCAGTTCATTCCCACATTCAGCTGTTGGAAAACTGGA